CAAAAAGTCTACTTTAAAAATAAAAATTTTTTCAACCCAGGCATGGTAAACATAAAACAGTTACAATAAAAGTACTAAACAGTAAACGTATATAATAATCAGGTGACAAATATATGTTCTGAAATCCTCGAACACTTTCTTCAACAATCTGCACTTGCAAAAGGAGTCAATCCCGACCAAATACCTCAACGAAAACTCGGAGTAGGTGCCAATCGACTGCTAACAATTTTTCCGCGTTCCCCAGAACTGTAATCGATGTTCAAATATGTGTCCGTTGCCCTGGCTGCTGGGGATCCACGATCGATGTCATTGATTTTTAATGATACTAAACGAACAGATACGTAAACGAAAAACGAAACTCCGCGTTCTTTGCGCGGACAGGGATGACTGAGTGTGAGGGAGTAAAAGCGAGCAGAAAGAATGTCAGAGGTGCGTGTGTATGCGTATGATCGTAGAGACTAAATTCAGGAAAAAGAATTAAAAACGTAAGTGAGCGATCTTTCGACTTATCGGTTATTTAAAAAAATAATGTTTCAACCAGAGCAAGATATGAAAATGTCTAAACAGTTGATTCGAATCGGATGATCATATTTTTTTTTCGAAGATCGTGAATTCGTTCGATCGAAAAGGAAGTATGGCGCGTCCGGGCAAAGTTCGCTACCGTGTATAATCGCAATTTCCCCGCCCGGAAACAAAAACGATTTCTTTGTGATAAACCGTTTGACTCGAGGATCCCTTGATTACGTTACCGCGTACATTTCCAATTCTTAAGGTTAATTCAGTAGCGAGGGAGTCTGTATATACACCGCCTGCACTTTGTACGAATATTGCGTGCGTCGCTGTGCCCAGCGATCAGTTTTGTTTCCTTTCGTCGTTTAATAAAGTGAATTCTTCATGACCTCTTAAATTGTTTGTGGAATCTGATGAAAAGCATTTTATCCCCATATCTGTTGATTCACACTTGTCATTTAATGAAGTGAGTTTATTTGACCTTCATGACTTTAATGTCCTTAAATCATCGATTTTAGATAGATGAATTACAGTGAATTAAAAATTACAAAGAATAACTAATACAGACAATATTACTCTTTTAACAAAATTTGTAAATTTTGGCGTATATCTCTGTAAGGATATTAGATATACCTACGTAATGAATATCGAATGATGACAGTTTATTAATTTGATGACAAGAAAAATTAAAACCTTACTTACCTACATTTGTATCTTCCTTCGTTATTATTGGTCGATTTTATCGCTTCAGAAGTTCCAAATTCCTCTGTCTGTATTTCACCTTCAATAGGTTCAATTTCGCATACAGAGTCCTCTCGATTATCGTCCCGAACTCGGGTCCGCGCATGGACTACAATCGTGGACCAGGTGAAACGCTTCTAACCCTCGTGAATACGTTTTTTGTCCGAAGCTCGAGCCATAGCAGCTTGCCTTTGCTTAATTATAATTAATGTTAAACTACTCACCTTTCTTTTAAATGAATGATTATTTCACCAATTCAATCCTTCTTTTGAATTACATAGTGTAACAGTTGATACGTAATTATATCAAGCAGTAAAATCTCCCGCATAATGGATGCCGCAATAAAAGTAAAGTTTCAGACTAACAAGTAAGTATGCTCGGGAAATTTTCAGGTTTTTTTTTTATTTTTTATTGCTATAATACAATTTGATTGTTGTGTAAAATCTGTTGTAATATACTAAAAAAAAAGTATCTATGCTTACATTATTAAGGAATAAAACGCGGAAGCATAGCGCAATAGAACAGAACAACAACCCTATTGTGAATGTTAGATTATCTTTATTATTACATCTGTTTTAAAAAGACATAACTTATTTATAAAAATATTGAGGATTCGGGGAATACCGGAAGTGAAACTGGGAACACGGGGATGAGGAGGAGGCCAGGATATAATAGGATCGAACAAATCCTTACATTACAGAATCGTTAATACTAATAAAACTCAGTACTTTTTACAAGTTACAAGGAATAACAAGATCTATCATTAATAATCGGAAGTTTCTTTCCTAAACTTATCCATAGATAACTGTATAATTGGAGCGTGTACCTTATCTATCGTCTTTTTTTTCGTTTAACACAGAGAATATCGGTGTGTCAAGAGAGCGGTTACCATCTTGGAATTTTGAACACATCAAGTTAATTGTCTTCGATTACGCCCGTTTCAAAAATCTGAACAATTAGGTATTTACGTAACACCGTTTACGTACCGAGTATAAAAAATTTCGTCGATCGATCGCACACACCGACTGAAAATATCAAATTGATTTCGTTGTGAACACCGTTTTTCCGATACGTTATTGAAATTCCATTGAGCTCGTTGCTATCAGATCTTTTACGCAATATATATCTATTTAAAAAAATATTAACATTTCTCTTGATATTTTCGTCGTTCGTTATTTGGCAGACTTTTCGTGGCTTTAACAATTACAAAGGCAGTCGCGTGAAGAAATACATTTTAATTCGTTTACAGAAGTTCTCTTTCTCTCTCTCTCTCTCTCTCTCTCTCTCTCTCTCTCTCGCTCTTTCTTTATATATCTATATATAAATAAAAAAAGGTGAATCTCCTTAGGAGCATATATAGGTTTCGCGAGATTAGTCATAGAAATTGCGTTGGACCCTCGTCTTCCGGGAATCCGGGAAGCTCCATCACATACCTCTATGTAATTCAGAATTGCATTGAGGACAAAGGCCCGATGTATAACGTCCCCGATGCAACAGTCAATTACACAAAACGTACATATATATATAATATAAAATATATATATATTTATTTATATATATATATATTTATATTCTTTTTCTTCTACGATCGTATAATATGATAAAGGAAACATTATTACTGTATATTGGGAGTCGGCTTACATAACTATCGGTATCTAACCTTACATAATATAAAAATATGTAAAAACAGTTTGTACAAAATCGAGAGAAAAGACAATTACATTTGGAAAGAGTATTTACAAATTTCTCATTTAGAAAAAAAAAAAAATAAAATAATAAACGACGATTGTTCCGTTTCGAACATGACCCCGAACACGTCCTGATCGTTGAATTACGTGTAATAATGGGACATTTATTGCAAGCATGTACGAAGAGCTCCATCTCGCCGACCAAAATAATTCGTTCTTTTCTCTCGCAACAATCCTACGATTAATGAATCCTATACCTTATTATGCGTACATACCACCGCGTCCAACCACGCCGCCGGGTTACGTCGTGTTATCTAAGAACTCTCTTTTGGCTTTGGCAGATGAGAGATCAGCGAATCGTCTTACCGCCCGTCCGTCGCGTGTTTAATTTAATGAGACTCTATTACGCATAAACGTACACATTAACGTTAACAATTACGCTAGATTGTTAGTAATAGATTCGAAGGGGGTAGTTTACGAGAAGCGTCCGCCGAACACTTCGATCTCATTTTTTGACATTCTTAAATAAATTCTTCTAGAAAAGATCTTCTGAAGTTCTGTGGCAAAAAAAACTAATTATAACTGAAAACTTTACAGAAGTATACACGAAATGGAAGAACTACAGGATGTATTCATTACAAAGTTGTTTTCTTTTAATATTTGATCTTGATTTGATCTTGATTTGATCTTCACACATATTCACCTACAATTTTCTTTGACAAAACATATTCTACAGTGAATTCTCTAAATATTTCTTTAATTCTGTAACATAAAAAACGACTACTAAACTTTCACTAAACTTTCAGAACACTTTGTACAGATCTTTTGTTTCACAATTGGAAGAAAAATGAGCAAAAAGTACAAATAGTACGTGAAGGAAGACTGTATATAAAATTTAGTCGACTGTTCATTTCGGCTTCTATTCACCCAAAATTAATAAAAAAAAGTAATAAAAATGTTTCATTTAACAGTTATCTGAAACGTTTATCTAGGTAAAAATTTTGTTCATCCCTAAACGCTTCAAATATTTTTCACCAATGCGCATCGACAACGAGGAATAAAGAATTGTTGCTTTGCTCCTCGTGTGTTCAGAGCTTTTAAACCGTCTCGTAAAGCGACTCACGGATGCTTCTCGTAGCGATCGACAGGAAGAGGAGATAAAATATAAGAAAGTAGCGCCGTGCGAATGGAATGTCTGTGTATGGAACGATTATATTCGCGGGTGAAGACGATATCTCTGAGGCTCTCGTCAACCGTGCAAAAACAAAATTACCTTCGCTCTATCTTACATTTATAACTCTCCCCACTAAATCGGTAATAAACGTTAAATCGTTAAAGGCCATTTGGAAACGCTGCGTTTCTTCAAGGGAAAACACATAATTTAATAAGATTTACCTATATCGAACATCCTTACCCTACGACACTCGAAGGCACGATTCTTCATATACGTTTTTCCACGCGGATTACAGATCCCCTTCCGGTTTTCACGTGTCACACGCCTTTGGGGGGCGGTTTACAATACACAAAGTCTCTCGCGAAACGATCGTATGTGAGACACGCCATCGTTCTTTTCCATCTTATTTATATCTGTGCGTTACATAGTTTAATTAGAATATTACATATTACACTCTATTTAGTCGTCCTCGTCGAATGCACGTGGTAGCTGATTCTCCGCTTCCGTATTATTGTCCTATGTACAATACTATTGTAGATAGCAAGGTCTCGTTCCCTATTACTTTATCTATCGGGTCTTCACACTGTGGCAAGTCGAAGGCACCATTGTTCATTGAGCTGACATAATCGGTTGATACAGAAAAATACATTATGTACCGCGTGTGTGTATATATGTGTGTGTGTGTGTGTGTGTGTGTGTGTGTGTGTGTGTATCTAATCTCCACCCACCGTATCAAAAGAAGGCACAGTCGTTGAACGAGTACGCGAATAGTGTCTCTAATCCAAAAAGAAATACGTTCCATTGACAATCTATGTTATTTAGAATCATGACAACCGCGTATCAGTCTACGCCGACGTAAGGTCGCAAAAACAACACCTTCCTGCCCGTAACTAAACCGTAGCAACCGCGCAGAAGTCCCTAAATATCGTACCAGAGAGAATCGCCCTCGTTCTCGACGAGTCAATCACAGTCCTTGTGCGTTACACGACCTACTCGCGCGAGGAAGAGAGCATCACCTGGCTTCATATATAGATCGCCTCGGAGCCCTTGTTGCTTTGGTGACCCGCACCGGCGCTGTACGCGTTCGGCGAGGCCATGCACTCGGACCAGTCGCTGTTCGAATGCGGTGAACTCGATGACCAGTGACCCGGACTGTCTGGTGACGGAGTTGGGAAGCTCTCTGGCGCCTGCATCAGGTGCTGCGGCGTCACATCTGGTCCGGAGTGATGGGACGGCGGTGTCAAGTACTGGTAGTACTGTTGCGTCTGCTGCTGTTGTTGCTGCTGCTGTTGTTGCTGCTGTTGCTGTTGCGTGCTCTGCTGTTGTTGTTGCTGCTGCTGTTGCTGTTGGATCTGCTGCTGCGTCTGCTGCATCTGTTGCTGTTGCTGCTGTTGTTGTTGCTGACTCGAGGAGTACGGAAGATTCTCGAAGTCGAAGCCGACCGGTGGCATACCACCGTGTTTTTGGTGTGTCGCCTGTCTCATCGCGGCGATGTGGGTGGGCGAGGTCGGTAACGATGGCCGACTTTTGGCAGGCGACGGGGAACCCATGTAGCTAGCCTGCGGCGACAACGTCATGTTCGACTGCACCGAGTGCGGCGGGGATTGATTACTATAAGGCGGCGATAACGTGTTCACCATGCCCTGCGTTTGTCGTTGGTGAGGAGCTAGTAGTTGGTCGTGAAAATTAGGCAACCCGTAGTTGGTCGTGAACGTGTCCAGCCCCAGTTGCTGCAGACCCTGCATCGATTGGCCCTTTATGCAATCCTCGTACGGAGGCGGTTGTTTTGCCGTGGCTGTGTGACCCACCAATGGCAGCGCGTTGCTGTACAGACTCGCGCTGTCGTAAGGACTCGGTAGATTTCCCTCTGCACCTTCTGCTCCTTGGGGAATCTCCTGGTTTGGGGGCTGAGCACCGCGTTTCGCCGGTGGCTTCTTCACCGACGGCTTTCGCCTTACCACTACCACTCCGCCTTCCGATTCTGGGCTGTTTGGGTTGCCAGCGGTACCAGTCTTCGGTCGTTTCTTCGACTTTCCTTGCTTCGGCGCGGAACCGATCACTGTCGGATGTGTGATTAGTTGAGGGTGGTTCGGAGATCCTGTAAAAAAAAAAGGAATTGGAAATTTCAGTATCACCGTGTAAGTCCAACCTTTTTGAACATCCAGTATGTATTATTATCATTGAGAACAGAATATAAAACACACTTACCCATAAGAGGACCATTCGGTATAACGGTGACCATTTGCGGGGATCTGGGCACGTGTTCATCGAGCAATCTGACAATATCGTGATGTAATCTCTCGCTAGCTACGTCCCTAGGTAACCGATCCATATGATCGGTAATCTCCCTATTAGCGAAAGTGTCTAGCAACGCTTTGCAAGCCTCGAAGCTGCCTTCCCTGGCGGCGAGGAACAACGGTGTCTCGTCCTTGTCATCTTGGGCGTCTCTGTTCGCTCCATGAACAAGGAGTATGTTAACAGCGTCGACGTTGTTCACAGCTGCGGCCCAATGGAGAGCCGTTTTACCACTGTTATCAGCCGCGTTGATGTCAGCGTCAGCGTTTATGAGATCCTCGACCATTCCTTCGGTGGCCAAACGCGCGGCCAGGATCAAAGGTGTGGTACCGTCGTGCATACGTGCGTTGAGATTCGTCGCCCTATTCCTCAAGAGTATCTGGAAGACTCCCATTGCGTCAGCAGCAACAGCGGAATGTAGAGGCGTTCTGCCAGTGTTGTCTTGAGAATTGGCGTCCGCTCCAGCGTCGAGGAGTCTCTTAGCCGCGTCAGCTCTGGCATAACGAGCTGCCAGATGAAGGGACGTCTCACCACTTTTATCCGTAGTAGCGTTCAAGTCCGCGCCCTGAGCAACCAAGTCAGCTATTACAGCTGCGGTACCGTCGCTTTCATCTTCTTCCTCGCCGGTATCCAATCCTCCACCGCGTACAGCGGCCACCATCAACGGCGTCATTCCGCAAGGACCTCTGGCGTCCACGTCCTGACCATGTTCTAAGCTCGGCGGTGTTAGCACTCCAGCGTCCGGTCGACGTATTTCGGCGGCGTCCAAATGTTGTTGGGTCCATAATTGAGGTTCCGTCTCTTCATAGTCTGTAATGGCGGTATGATCGCTGGCGTATCCAGGCTCTATAGCTCTCATCCTCTTTGAAGGTGGTAAGTCTGACTCGTCGTCCGACCACTGTTGAGCTCGACCGTTTCCTACATCTAAATCCATGCAGTTCACTGACGGCTGTTTGTTCAGGTTCCTCATTTCTTGACCATCCGGACCTCTTCTTCGAGATCTGCGACGTTGTCCGCTTCCGCTGCTGGTGCGAAGGAACCCGTCGGGGAACCATGTTACACCTACTGCACGTTTCCTCTGCGCAGTGACCAATACACCAACCAGCATTCCGCCAAGTACCACAATGACAACACCGATAAAGACGTACTTGTAGTTCGTTGGTGTGTCTGGGTACTCTGGACCCTGCGGCCCCACGACACCCCGGACTTGCTCGATAGGGAAGTTTCTTGACAGAGAATGCTTGGATGCGGTGGCTGCTAGATATTCTGCCGCCTCGTTGGCTGAAGGAAAACATACCGCTCCTTGGGTGACCGTACATTTTCTGTTATCGATCTCCAAATAGGCGATCACTCCATTCTGACTATTGGTGTAGATTGTGGTTGGTCGACCGAAGAAGTTAGTTTGTAGACTGGGCTCCCTTTCCCTCTTCCAGGGATAAATCATGTCGTTGCCAAGCTCGTCTTGCTTAACTCTTAAGGTGGTACGAAGTTCGTGACCAATATCTCTTAGGAAAGCTACCACGTTGGATCTGAAGGTCTGCATATCCATTCTGACTACCACTGAAATCACACCTTCTGCCAACGATGGTGGTTCTCTGTCGCAATCAAGACCGTCCCAGTTACACTCCTCATTGTTGCAACCATAGTCACAGTGTCCGTTGGCGTAGTGTTTACGACAATAGGCGTCGTAGATGGGGCTGTAAAAATAAAAGCACGAGTTAATAGATGAGATTACCTGAAACTTTCTTCTTTCGTTATATTCTATTATTTACTATCGAGATATTCTAGATCAGCAATATTATACTCTGTATGTAATTAGTGATTTACACAGGTCCTCGACGTAATAACTGATCTTACGAGATTGCATCTACTTACTTGCAAGGTGCGAGTTTCCTTTCACAATCCCTTCCGTCGAACAGACATTGAGCATTGTTGCAAACTTCGTCGCAGACATCGTTCATGAACACGTCCCAGCAGTTGATCGGAGCTGTGCAATTCCTCCACGGATTGATGCCCAAGGAACAATCGTTTCCATCGAAGTTGCAGGCGTATCTGTTACACTCTTCGTCGCAATGATGGTTTCCAGATTTCTCTTCGCATCTGTTTTCAATGCACTTCTTTCTTTCCAGTTCCAAATCGAGGTCGTACGCGTTCATGGTCTTCGGTACATTTGTGTTTGCCCTGCCGAAAATACCGCCTCCGTAGTTCGAATCATAAATTTCACAGTTCTTCCCGGTCCATTTGGGAGGGCAATCGCAAGCGTAATCGCCGAGGAGATTCTTGCAGACAGCGTTCGACTGTTGACACGGATTACTTGCACATTCATCCCTCGCGTCGATCTCGCAGTGGGTTCCAGTTGTACCAGGTGGACAGTAACATCTATAACCGACTTCAGTCTCAGCCACTCTACACGTGCCGCCATTTAAGCAAGGCTCTCTGTCGCAATAAGAACCAGCGAACTCGCAGTTGTTACCATAATAATCGCTGGGGCAGAGGCAGGTATGCCCAGCCTGTTTAGCCGTGCAAACTCCACCGTTCTGACAAGGTGAGCTGTCGCAGAAGTTCACCTTGACTTCACAGTGGCGTCCCATGTAACCGGGTTTGCAGTTGCAGTGATAGTTGTTGATCAACTGCACGCAATCTTGTGTTCCCGGCGAGGTACACGGATTGGACAAACATTCGTTGATATCACCCTCGCATCTTGGTCCAACGAAACCTGGCGGACATTTACATTCGAACCCTCCGACCTTGTCTGTGCAGGTACCATTATTGTGACAAGTACCGATGGCACAATCGTCAACGTTCAATTCACAAATGAAACCGAGAGTACCAGGAGGACATGAACAGCTGAAGTTACTGATCAGGTCGTGACAAGTGCCACCGTTCTGACAAGGATTAGGTCTACAATCGTCCACATTAAGTTCGCAGTTCTGACCCTGGAAGCCTTTAGTGCATTGACATTGATAAGACCCAACCAAGTCCTTGCACGTGGCACCGTTCTGGCAGGGAGCAGAGTCACACTCGTCGACTTCCTCTTGACAGTAGGATCCTGTGTATCCCTCCAGACAGTGACAACGATGGCTGTTACCGATATCCTCGCAGGTACCGTTGTTACAAAGATTCTTCTCGGAAACTCCCTTTCTGATAGCCGCGTCTTTGCACGAGACCATTTCAACGTCGCAGACTTTACCGGTCCATCCTGGAGAACAATTGCAGTGATATTTGTTCTTGTGTTGGACGCAGGTAGCTTGGTTCTCGCAGGGATTGTCCGCGCACCAGTCAACATAGTGATCGCATCTAGTCCCAGTGTAACCGTATGGACAATGACAAGTGTAATACTGAACGTGATCGTGACAGGTGGCGCCGTTCGAGCAAGGGGAACTATCGCACTCGTTGATACGGTACTGACAGTTCGAGCCAGTGTAACCAGGCTCGCAGACGCAGGTGTAATTGTTGATACCGTCGATGCACTTGCCACCGTTCATGCAACTGCTGTCCGTGCAATCCTCGTCGTTCGTCTGACAATTTATACCCGAGAAGCCGAGCTGACACTGGCAGGTGTAAGAATTTACGTATTCCTTGCAAACGGCGCCATTTTGACACGGCTGGGACAGACACTCGTCCACGTCGATTTCGCAGTGTTTGCCGCTGAAACCATCCACGCAGAGGCAAGTGTAGTCGCCGATGCCGTCTAAACAGGTACCGCCATTTTGACAGGGGACTGGAATAAAGAAAGTTGCATCAATTACATATGATATAGAAACTACTTACAATTATTCAACTTAAGTGATGCTAGTAAGGGCAATAACACGGATCACGAAGAATGTTAAAATCTTCTCTTGCGTAGTTTTAAGAGACGATAGTCCTGACATCTATACTCACAGGAAGCGCAATCATCCGTGTTGATGATACAGTCACGGCCTTCATAACCCTTCGCGCAAAGGCACTGATACGATCCATTAGTGTTCCTACAAGTAGCTCCGTTTCTGCAAGGAGACGTCATCACACACTCGTCTACATCTTCGTCGCACAGTCTACCGGTGTACCCAACCGTGCAGGTGCAGGCGAAATCCAGGAAGTTCGAGGACGGTGAACATTTGGCGCCATGTAAACATCTGCGAACAAAGTCATCAACGATTAATTTCACTAACTGACAATCGTAAAATCGTATCAGGACAACAGGATTTCTCTGATCGTCAATGCAACTACGAATCCCGAGTAGTTTCCTGTGATCCTTCTAAAAACAACACAATGATGGTACTTGTTAGGCGAGCAAGGGTCCAGCTTGTCCTCGCAGTTCCGTCCGGTGTGTGGAAGCTCGCAGACGCATTTGTAGTCGTTGACGAGATCGATGCAGGATCCACCGTTCTGGCAGGGATTGTTCGCGCAGTCGTCGATGTTCGTTTCGCAATTGGTCCCCGCGTAACCGGCCAGACACTCGCATGTGTAACCGTTCAGATGATCCTTGCACGTGCCGCCGTGCTGGCAGGGATTCGAGCCGCACTCGTCGATGTTCGCCTCGCATCTTTTCCCGCCGTAACCAGGCAGACAATGGCAGATGAACTGGTTGACACCGTCCTCGCAGGTGCCGCCGTTCACGCACGGATTGCTCGCGCACTCGTCGACGTCGCTGAGACACCTAGCGTCGTAATAGCCGCGTGGGCACTCGCAACGGAATCCGTTTATCAGATCTATACAACGTCCGCCGTTCGCGCATGGATTGCTCGCGCACTCGTTTATGTCGGTCTCGCAGTGCTGACCGGTGAAACCTGGCTCGCACTCGCACGAATACCTGGAAGAAAAGACATCGTATCCACTGAGGATGGAAGAAATGATAACGTTAGACCGGACCAAGATTTTGCCTGATTTGGGGGGTTCACGCGATAGGGAGCGAGGTGAACTTTCGCTTATCGCGGTTCGCCACTCGCTGAGACGTTCACGGTGTGTTATACAGGGTGGTAATTTTAACTCGGGCAGCTGAATTGTTTCCACTATTACTGACAGTAAGAACAAATTACTAAATAGGATGTACATGGTTTATAAGGCGTGCATTTGATGGTGATACAAAGAAATACTGTGAAGGTCATTTTAACGGGTTTTTTCAAGGTCATCGTATTTTTTTTGCACGTTCGCATGTAGTTTTTTTATAACGCGATGCGGTAGTTCGAGTCGAAATGAATTCAACGACGCCATGACCTTGAAGTAACCTTGACGGCGAAGAAATCAGCTACAGTTTGAAGAATGCAGAAGTAAATAAACGTAATAAGAAGTAAAGAATAGTATCACCATCAGATGCACGTCTTAAAACCATGTACATTCTATTCCGTCATTTTTTCTTAATTTCCATAATAGCGGAAATAATTCGGCTAGAGTTGAAATTAACACCCTGTATATGTGAGTAAAGACAACGGGACGGGTGATCAATTTTGCCTGATTGTGAGGATAGCGAAAATGTGATTCGTGTCAACTGAAATTCTTGTTGCTTCGTGGAGCAACGTTGTTACCTTTGATTCCCTCTCTACGCCGCCCAGGGGGCCAACAAGCGTAATCAGTTACTAGAGATACTATAAGACTGTGTGTGCCATTGTTCACAAGGGGTTATGAATCTATTTTACTATGAAAGTATAAAACGCATTCGCATTGCAGCATATAGAATACATATGAATGTAGGCGATAGAATATACTAAATTCACCCTGAGTTCCTAAGGACCACACAATTCATGACCCCTCGAGAACAATGGCATTCTTGTAGCATCTGTAGTCACTGTCATAATTGTTATAAGCAATTCAGGTGATTAATAGACAGAGTTGTCAGGAGCAGCTAATTTCAACCATGAACTCAACAAATTTTCGTAGAGATTTAGGGGTCTTGTTTCGTTAGAGCACCAGAGAGATGAGTATGTTCATCCACTATTTGGGGTACAGTGGATGGATAAGTCTACAGAGAGTCCAGGTTAATTCACTATAGAGGTGAGTATGTTCAGCCGCCATTTTGGGTCCTCTGGAGAGTGAAAGCAACGCAAGCCTTACCTTGGAATCTCTATAGAAAAATCCGTTCACTGGACCTAAAATGGGGGATGAACATATTCATCCTTCTAGTGCTCTAGCAAGACCCTAGATTAGGATTGACCAACGTATGACGTATTGGAAGATTACAAGTGGTGCATTTCATCATAAAATTTCTCAAATACCCAAAGCCTATATTCCCCTATTTTCCAACCCTAACCATCAACCTAAGAAGGTAGAAATTGTCGCATGTTATGTAAAAGGTTGGCCACCACTGTCTCTAAAAAAATACGCAAAGTCCACGGTTAAAAGTAGCTACCATGGCAATTCTGTTCACAGACGTCAATCACAGAACGACACCAGTCGCCAGTTTCGATTGGATCATAAAGAAAAAGGTCCACAAAGCTCGATTATAGAGAGGGAACATTCTGCGTAACGAAATGATTCGTTACAACGCAAGATCGAATTCTCCGACTCACCTGTTGATACCGTCGATACATCTCGCCCCGTTTCTGCACGGGTTGCTGTAACACTCGTTCACGTTCACCTCGCAGTTCATCCCCGATGTTCCAGGCCTGCAGATGCACAGGTAACCGTTTATACGATCCTCGCAGCGACCGCCGAACTGGCAAGGATTGCTCTCGCATTCGTCGATCTGGATCTGACAGAGTTTCCCGGTGAATCCTGGGAAACAGTTGCAACTGAAGCTGTTCTCCCCGTCGATGCAGGTGCCGCTGTGGCACGGGTTCGATTGGCAGTCGTTGATGTTCGTTTCGCACGATGCACCGGTGAACCCTGGCGGACAATCGCATGTGTATTTCGCTATGGAGTCCTGACAAATACCGCCGTTTTTGCACGGCGATGACGCGCAGTCGTCTATGTTGATCTGGCAGTGAGAACCGGCGAAACCGTTCGCGCAAGTGCATTTGAACGAGTTTATCAGGTCGGTGCAGACGCCTCCGTTCAGACATGGTTTGGCGGCGCACTCGTCTATGTCGATCTCGCACTGTGTACCCGTGAATCCTGTAAAGAAAACAAACGAAATTTATGATTAATCTGTATTTTACAGAACTTTCGTTTACAGCATATACTTAGTTAGAAAGTTTAGAAATTACTGGAGAATATCGGCCCACAAGAAAAATTAGTTAATCTACGTAAGTATCATTGGTCTAAAGAATACAAATTCACCATAATGTAATGAAAATTCAACCTGGAAGATAACAAATATTCTTTTGACTCCGTAACGATGAAAGTTTTGTTTTTCGTAACAATTTTCTTAAAAATTTATGTTGAATGTATAATAAGATAAAATATAATATTATAAGATAAGATTTTTCAAGTATTGTAATAAATAACTATTCAATAGATGATATTATATTGTGTTGGATTATTTTTCTATTTTACTGTTTCTGTAATATTAAACTTCATAAAATTTACACTTACTTTTCTCAGTTTACAGACTAGTGGGGATAGGACAATTGAGAATTAGAGCGACATGCAAATTCCCAATTTCATATATTAATATCTACAAATTAAAATGGGACAGAGTTTTGAATTTTGTATTAAAAGCTTCACTATACTAATAACAACACATAACTCGTATAAAACTTTATTAACCTTCTATAACCTGAATTTTTTCTTGACTACAAAGAAATGTGTGCAATGTGAAACCAATAAATATCAACATCTAAATACAAACTAACAATAAATTTACAATTTAAGCCAGAATGGATAATCGCAACGAAGAATTCTGTCGATTACTAACGAGAGGTTATAGAACACTATGTATACCCATATAGTGACAAAAATTTACATAAAACTAAAAAAATATTAATATATCAGTATGTGACTTCAAAATCATACGAGACTATAGATGGTTGAAACCTGTGTTTCATTGAAGTTTCTATGTCAAGACACGCTATAAATGCATAAATAGTATGAGTAGTTAAAGTCAATAAAATCGGAAACGTGACGTTAATTTCGAGTATCGAAGCTGTGGAGACTTCAACGCGTGGTGACGGTCTATACTACTCTAAAGATCCACTATAACCGGATTTACTATGCTCTGAGCGGTAAAAATATTTGTAACTATAACTAAAAATAATTATAATAGGTGAAACTAATTATTCAGTTTATTCAGTACGAAACTAAAGTGCTATATTGAAGGCTTTAAGACTATCAAAACTTCTTTGAAACCCATATCATGTAGGAGCCATCGATATCTTCTCTAAAATCCCCAAGTGTATACAATTTTTCAATTCCTTTACATCAAAATTTCCCATCGAACAAAATTTACGGAGTATAACGAGTACGTAATAGGATGCTTCTGTTACTCAAACTGCATCGAATTATCGTCGATTAATGTGCTGAGAAGAGGAGTAAGAGATCCTCTGCCAACTTTCTTTTCCATAATCACACACGTCTCGAACAGCGAATAATTCGCAAGATCTTGCCATGGAGTACACTTCTTGTCTTAGTTTCCGTACAATTATCCAAGATTAAGAAGCCTCGAGCAAAAAGCTCCCTGTATTGATTGAACCAGTTCAACGCTCTAACGGTACCGAACACCCCGATCCATCCGCCTCAATCATCGCGGTTTCGAGCCCGCTTCTTTTCGCGTTAAGAGCTACTCGGAAAATTACAAACATTCACGGGGGAGGGGGAAGCGAATGAAGTCGTCAGAGAGACGACTACCGCCGTAATTAGCCTTAATTAGACGCGAACAGAGGGAGAAAAGGGGAGGGGGCGAAACTGGTCCGGATGGATCAGCGGGGTACAGCTAATTGCATCTTTGATCGATCGGCTCTTTGCACTTTTTTTTGCCACTGTGTTCTTATTCGATGCAGAATGATTCAGGGACGGCGATAATCGTGCCAATTATCAGGAATAATTAGAGTTTTCGAGGGACTACCTCATCGAGGAAATTGCTGGTCGAAAATCGATCTGATCTTCGTTCGACAATTAAAATTAGTAAAACGAATATTTTAGAAGCTTTCGAGGTTCTGTTGAGAGTTGAATTTTCGGGGGACTGCGGGTGGTACGGGAGTTTTTCTAGTTAGAAAATTTCCGGCTATAAGAATTCGTGTTATACGAAACTAGGAACTAGTGTGTGTACGTACATATCAAGAACTGAGTTAGGTTTCAAAAACAAACAAAATTAGGAACTGTCGGAAAACTGTAGGAACAGAAATTATTGGAAAACTGTAGAAACAGAAATTGTGGAAAACTGTAAGAATATGAATTATTGGGAAATTGTAGGAACAGGAATGATTGGAAAACTGTAGGAGTAGAAATGATTGGAAAACTGTCGGAAAACTGTAGGAACAGAAATTATGGGAAAACTGTAGAAATAGAAATTGTAGAAAACTGTAAGAATAGGAATTATTGGGAAATTGTAGGAAAACTGTAGGAGCAGG